ATCAAGAATAGAGGGCACTGATTCTGGTCTTCAAGTTGGTTCTCTCTGCATTTTCTCTGATAACTCAGAAGTTCTGAAGCAAGTATCTGCACTTGATTACATCCAAATACCACCAATTTTTTCAATGATGACCATTCTGTAAAATAAATTCCAGGGCAAATGCTCTTGAGACTGGGTAGCCCCTTAAGTAGCAAGTGTGTTAATTTTGGAAACACGAAGTTCGGGGTTGCTCCGAACGAATTTGATTGACCAATTTTCAAAGCTTGTGTTTCACTAGCATTCAATCCTCGAAGTTCAAATATTTTTTCTAGTGAAACACAATTTTCTATTTTGAGTTTTTGTAGGTTTTGAAGTCTTCCAAGCATAATAACTGAAAAAATATTCAACAGTTTTTCACAGGATTCCACCACAAGCCGATCTAGCTTGTGGAAGCTCTCTGCATCAAGTTGGTTGTCCCATATCAAGTTCAAGCTCTCCATATCTTTGAGTGCAAGGTGGTTTAATCTGGGGAATCCCACCTAAAAATGAAATATAATATGAAATTAGAAGGAAATATTTTAAGACATGAAAAATGAAAAGTAAAGGGACAAAAAAGAGCAAAAATTTTACCTTTGCATTGAAAAGCGGTGATGTAAAAGTACCTTCTACTATTTTACTTTCTGTCATGTCACTCGTTTCCCCAACATTAGAACTGGAAATGAATGTCTCCAACAGAGGGCACTTGATTATATGAAGGCTTCTCAGGAAGGGGAACTCAAAGTAAGTTCCAGAGCAGAATCTTGTGAGTTTGGGAAGGTCTTCAAGAGTTAGGATTTCAAGCTTAGCTAACAACAAACTTTCTTCCCCTGCTAATCCTTCATTTACTATTACCTCTTTCATCATCACACAATCACAAATCTCAAGCAATTGGAGTTGCACAAGACTTTTAATCATTGAGGATGTAAACAGATATTTCAAATTGCCACATCCCTTCAGAAGCAGATGTTTTATACTATGAACAACTGAAGACATTGTTAAAAGTTGTTTTTGGAATATTTGTTGCATATTCATTGACGAAAGCATCAATACCAGAAAGCTGGAAAACTCAACCTGAAAAGTGCAGTTCTAGCTTCATGAACAAATTTGTATCCTTTAATAGAAAGTAATAAAACAATGAATCACAATGATTAAAGAAATGGCATGAAAATAAACTTCAAATAACTAATATGCATAAATCTCAAATATCCCAAGACTACCTTACACACAACTTTTATTTACAGCACTCAAATAAAATCTTAACTATTTATTTCGTTACTATGAATGGTCGAGATTTATTTGACTTTTTAAATAAAAAAGACAATTTTCATTAAAAAATAAGATAAAAGTTAAATGATATATGTACGAGTTGTATGTAAGTGAATCTTGCTGTATATGTATTGCAAATAATACATATTAGGCCTAATGTCAAAAAAAAGAATTAGAGTCTCAACCTTAAACAACTCATTTCATTTAATGAAAATTTAATTCAAAATTCAGAAATTCACCATATTTAACGTTAAATCAATATACACTATTTAATGAGATAGATTTTGGACTTTTTATATCTAGAATGGTCAAAATGGAAATGAAACGACGTTATTTAAATTGAGACTCTATGCACTATTCTTTTTTTTACTTTTTGATATTGAATTATACAATAAGAGACAATTATTTCTCATCCTTTAACTGCACCTACTTGCATGTCATATGATTCGAACTTAATACTTCTTACTTTCACAAAAAAAAAAATTATCATTAAATTATTTGAATTGTTGACTACTCCATGTAGTATTCTAATATGTATATATGTATCTAAACACACATAATTGTAACATAGGCAGGTCTCAAGTCGCATTTCGCTTCACATGTACGACCCTTTCTCTTAATTATTAAATATAATAGTATGAATACAAAATTATAGTTTTAATTAATTTTTTATACCATATGTAATTTATTGGATAAAAATGGTACAACCTATAAGAAAAAATTTATATAAGTTAGAAAAATTATATTTCCAAATGAAATCCATCTCAGCTATGCCAAGACCACTAAGGTGTAATTTTTGCTTGGGCTACAGCGTTCTATATTTTATGCAAAAGAAGAACTATCCTAGAACAGGACTTGCGTTTGGTCAATGCACCGAAATAGTCCAAAAGTTAGAACCTGTTGGATAATTTAGGCTTTATTTAGTGTGACCATGATTTTTAATTTTTAATTTTAGTTTCCACAACTTTTATAACTACTAAGACTAATAATTTATCATGTCATAAATGAAATATTAGCATTCACTTATTACTTTTAGTCATGTCATAAATGAATATCAAATAGATGTATTTGGTTAACCATAAGAATGTTTATGTAGATGATAGAAGTAGAATAATATAATCTAGGCCGCGCAAGTGGATCGAAAGTCGAGAAAATGTGAAACCAACAATTCAGGTGAAGAAACAGACCTGGTCACCGAAAAAGGGTGCAATAGGGATGTCGATGACTTCCTTTCCAATCCTTTCTGCACTTACTCCTGCTGCCTCTTGCCCCGTTGAAAATGTTGAGGCAAATGTAACCATCTTTGGACAGTCAAGTAAATTCATCTCTGACAATGATGGACACTCAAGTTTATAATTTCCCACATAGAAACTTCTCAAGTTGGGACAAGATTCCAGATTAATGGTTTTTAACAGTGGGAATATTATCTCTTTTTCATCTACCTCCGTAGCTTCCTCTTCTGTGATGATTTGCTCCATCATTTCACAGTTTTCCACTCTCATCTCTTCGAGGGAAACAAGACTCAAAGCCATGGAAGGTGTTAGGAGATACTTCAAGTCACTACAATTACAAATTTCAAGGACACAAAGCTGTTCGAAATCCAAGATCTCTTGAGGATTCTTGTTCCATATTTCCACCAACTGAGGAAAGCCTGAGAGGTCCAAATACTGTAACCCAGAAAAACCAACCTGCCCAGTACACTCTTCAGTTATTAACATAAGAATATATCCAAATAAATTAATAGAGAAAAATGAAAGAAGAAGAAGAAGAAGAAAAAGTAATAGCTTACTCCTTGCATTTGATGAATGGAATAACTGAAAAAATTGCAATAACAAATAGGGGAAATTTATGGCTCAATTCATACCTTTCCTTTGTACACATGATTTATGGCGTCATTCAGCTCAACCACCGGACGCGCTACATCATCTTCTTGTGTTAATTGTATTCTCTGCAGGCTTGGAGTCCTCACGATTCCATGACAGAAGGTCTCAAAGTTGGCACATTGAGCCACCATTACTTCTTCCAACAATGGGAACATAATTGTGAAATTTGCAGAACAGAAGCTTGCAAGTCTTGTTAGGCACTTAAGTTTCAAAACTTTTAATTTGCTGAAAACAATCACATCTTCAAAATCTAATCCATCTCCTTCGCCTCCAACTATTTCTGTCAGAAAGTGGCAATTTTCTACGGTGATACTTTGGAGTTGCACCAGATTTTGGGCAGTTGCGATTGAAAATAAATTTCTTAACCGTTGACATTTTTTTACCAACAAAGTGGTGAGATTTCGGAAAGATGGTGTAGATTCTGATAAGCTAATCAAATTATCACATTGCAGCACTTTAAGAGATTCAACATTTTGAACAAGTAGATCTGATGCTGAGCCTTGACTCCATATATACTTCAGATTACGAAGTGCATCCAGCTTCAACTTTCTAATACGTAAATGCCATCTTGCATCTTTCTCCTGACAATCAATAGATGCTACAGAAGGGAACAACTCCTTGAAAGAAGAGCAACCTATAAAAAGCTTTTCTAAATTGAAGAATCTTTCAATGAAGAACAATGGAAAAACCGTCAATTCACTGTGGTAGCAGAGAACCCGAAGAGCTTTAACATGGGAGAAGAGGTCTTCTGGAAATTGGCCAGTACATATCATTGCAATGTCATCACTTGTTAATGATAGCTTCTCCAATCTAGGAATGACCTGAAAGCCAATGTAAGAAAACATAATATTATACCATTTGTTAAGGATATTGAAAAAGATATTAGGCGATATGCATTAGTAAAAGTTAACACTAAAAATTAGATAAAACCAAGTACTTTGTTAATGATAAATGAAAGAGAGCTACAATGGTTGAGAGGATCTGAGATCCCCTAATCTAGTTCTATACTTGAGTATTTATAGAATTATAGTGTATTACAATAGAGTTCATATATATAGAATAATGTCTTCTAATTCAACTGAATTAGTTTTCCATCTTTTATAAGATTCTAACATTTTGTAGTTGCATCAGTGGAGGTTCTTGTTGGAAATGGTGCCTTAAATTGCTCAAAGCAAATATCGAAAATTCTAATTGAGTCTTGCATTTAAAGTCATGGTGAGATTTTGTCTTCTAATTCGATTCCGACTTGATTAGAAACCTTAAGACCTGTATGACAATGTATGATAATTCCTATTAGTACTTGAATTTGTACTCTAGTAGAAATCTAAGAACCTTACTTCAAATATAAATTTGTGATATAAACAAATTTATTTGTGTGTATGGTTATAATCCATCCCTATTGGGGTGATTAAGGTTTTGCTTGATCAGGCTGTGCATAAATCTTTTTCCACACATCTTATTTAAAATTGTAAGTTTATTATTTTTATTTAATTTTAATTAACTTTTTATATATTTTAATTAATTTTAATTAACTTTTTATATATTTTAATTAATTAATATTTTTTATATTTTTAGAATAGTAAAAGGAAAAAATAAAAAATAAAAAATAAACACTATAACACCAAAGTCTCCCAAGAGCACTAACAAAGTCTAAAGAGTTTTTGAGTTGGGTGTTGAGTGAAAAGATAGAGAAATGATAGTGCCATTGGTAAAAAAAATATTTTTCAAAAAATATTTTTTTATATATTTTTAGGAAAATGTTTGAGAGGCAACTTTTTTTATTTAACTTTTCTTTTCATTTTATTTGGACACTTGACATTGTATATATTCATTTATTTATAGTCCATTTGGTATAGTAGTTTCTGGTAGTCCAAACCATTGTAGGATAAGAGTTTGGTAAATTTGTTTATTATCAAACCGTTACAAACAAATATTTGGTAAAAATTTTTATTTAGCACTTTAGGGTTAATAGATATCAATTAGAGTCTAAACTACTAACAAATTAAATTAGAATTTTTAATTTTATTGACAAATTTATCCATTTTAATTTTTAAAATTTTTTTGCTAGCCTTTAATTAATACTTATCTTATTAATTTCAATTTTGTTTTTTCTTTTTAACAACATTAAATAAATACTATATTTTTATTTTTTACATTAACTTATCATAAAAAATTATATTAGCTTAATAAAAAAATTTACTAATTAGACAAAATGATTAAAAAAATTTTTAGTTAAAAATAACATAATTTTTTTAAAATAAAAATGAGTGTACAATTCACACTTCTATATTTTATTTTATTTTATTTTATTTATTTATTTTTTTATTATTATTTTTATAAAATTAATAATTTTAAGAATAAAAATATAAAAGTAAAATCAATTGCTTCTAAATATGCTTTTATTAGTTATTTAACATCTAACAACAACCATTAATTATTATATAATCAAACAATTATATCAATCAAAATCTACCCTCTAATATCTGCTACCAGATTTACCAGACTTTTATCATTTACAATTTCGCTGACCATCACCTACCATTTGCTAAATGTTAATTACCATAGCAAATAAAATTTTAATGATATGTAAAATTTATATAAAAAAATTGTATTCATATTATTACCCTTTTGAATATTTGATTAGAAAATAAATCAATGGAAATAATTTAGAACTTAGTGAAAAATATTACCCCATCCATTCAACTTTAGTGGACCTAATTTTTTTCAATAAAATAAAAATGTAATGATTAATTGATAAAATTTTATATTTATCTCTAATAATTCACTACCTAAATAAGCCTTTTTATTTAATATATGTTGTAATTATTTTTTTAAAATAATGATAAATTAGAAATAAACATATTAAATAACATTATAAAAAAAGTGAATAACTAAGATTTTGTTTAGTGTAATTTTAGTTTTGAATTTTTCATATTTCAAA